ATATAATATATAATATATAATATATAATATATAATATATAATATATCATTATAATATATAATTATAATTATAGTTGTAATTATTATAATTAAATATTATAATTTGTAATTTATTATTTCTAATTATTTATAATTAATTATTTACATAAAGTGCATGAGAAAGTTCGTTACAAGAATGTAAACATCAGAAGGCTTAGAAGAACTTAGAAGAGCAAAGCAGACTCTCCCAAGGGCGCTCAGGGTGTGCGCTGCAGGGAAAAGGACAGGAACCAACTCCTGGATCTATGGCATGTGAGAAAAGCACCCCTGAGCCTGGACAGGACACACGGAATTCTCACCAGACTGGAGACCTGAAGTTCCAGCTGCACACACAAGTGTGTTCAGTTTTTTAATCTGTTTTTGTAAAATAATTTTGCAAGTGAAGTACTTCTATAATATCTTGTTACTATATGGCAATCCATTATAGAATAAATTTCTACTTTGTGGTGATCCATTATATAATAGATTGTTACTTTGTGGTGATCCATTACGTAATACATTGTTATTTTATGGTGATCTACTATATAATGCATTGTTATTTTATGCTGATCCATTATACAATATATTGTTACTTTATGGTGACCCATTATGTAATACATTGTTATTTTATAATGATCTTCTATATGATATGTTGTTATTTTATGGTGATCTACTATACAATATCTTGTTACTTTATGGTGATCCATTATAGAATAAATTTCTACTTTATGGTAATCCATTATATAATACATTGTTATTTTATGGTGATCCATTATAGAACAAGTTGTTACTTTATGGTGATCCACTATATAATATATTATTTTGTGGCGATCCACTATATAATATATTGTTACTTTATGGTGATCCATTATAGAATATGTTGTTATTTTATGGTGATCTGTTATATAACATGTTGTTACTTTAAAGCTTGTCCAATCAATCAGGAAAATTCCAACTCCAGCAGTAAAACTGACGGATTTCCCAGTGCCACAATCAGCGACGACCCTGTGGATTGGGGAATTTTAATCTTAGATTTAGACCTGGCATTGCTCCTCAAGTCCCAGAACCCTGTGAGGATTTTCCCTGGGGTTTAACCCCAGCCAGGAGGAGGGAAATTGGCATTACTCCTGAGATGGACTGACCGTGGCTGGACGCCAGGTGCTCCCCAGAGCTGCTCCATCGCTGCCCCTCGCTGCGACAGGCAAGGGAAAACAGAAGAAAAGCTCGTGGCTCAGGGTGAGGACAGAGAAAGCTCACCCATTGCTGCTGTGGCCGAGCAGGCTTGATTCGGGAAAATTAGTTTGGTTTGTTACCAATCAAATCAGAGTCGGGTAACAAGTAAAATAAATTCTGAAAACACTGGATTTTTCTCGGGTTGTCTGCTTTTGGGATGACCTGAGAGTCCCTTTTCCCAGCCCGCTGGCCAAAGAAAGAGTCAGGATTCTTTGGCTCATGTTCACAGGTTGTTTATGATCCATTATCCAAAATATTTTCTATCAGACCCGCAGAGGTCTGTCTGCAGCTCTGTCAAGGGCATGCTGCCCGCCCCGGGCTGGTGTCTGCATTTTATACTACAAGTCAGGTGTAATTATTTATCATTATTTTCCAATACCTATCGTCTATGTTAGACTGTCTACTTCTGCTCTAGACCAATCCAAATGTGCCCCCGTCACCCAGAAGATGGAGGCTGGGAAGAAGAAGGAAGAATAATAGGACAACGAGCAAGTCCTTCCATCTTTCCTCCTAGATCCCCAATAATAAAATCCCTAAAACTCCAGTTTTCACCCGGTGATTAATTCATTATCACTCTTCCTAAACTTCTGTGACTTGTGATTCTTCATACAAGGTTGGCAATTTGCTCCGTGGGTTAAGATCGAATTCCCAGGTGTCTTTGGCTTCCTGCCAGGGGCACGTGTCACCCAGGGCTCCCAGAGGGTGTCCCGGTTCCGACAGGCTTGGTTCCCCCAGCCCTCTGTCCGTCCCAGGCTTGGCTTTGCTGCCTCCTCGCTCCCAGGGGTGCGGAGGGGCAGGAGGGGGGTTACACACCTCGTGGTTTCTGCTGCTGCTCCTTCTGAGGGAGAGGAGTCCCTGCCCTGCTCGGCTCTGGGAGGAAGGCAGCCTCTGCAGACTGCTCCTTCCCTCGGGCTGTGCCCCTCGCACGCTGCGTGTCCCTCCATGGGGACAGTCCCTCGGGGCCCCCCAGGCTCACAGGTCCTGCCAGGACCCTGCTCCTGCACGGGCTCCTGTGCCCACAGGTCCTGCCAGGACCCTGCTCCTCCACGGGCTTTCAGGGGGTCACAGGCTCCTCTGCGCCCCCCTGCCCTGCGGTGGGCTCTCCCAGGGGGTCTCTGCTGCCATGGGGGTACCCCAGAGGTGGATTTGGGTCTCTGCTGCCATGGGGGTACCCCAGAGGTGGATTTGGGTCTCTGCTGCCATGGGGGTACCCCGGAGGTGGATTTGGGTCTCTGCTGCCATGGGGGTACCCCTGGGTACCCCTGCTCTCCGTATCCTCCCCAGGCTGTGGGGAATCCCTGCTCCACTCTTGGATCAGCTCCTCCCGTTCCTCCTGCCCTGCCCTGGGGGGCTCCAGGGCTGCTGCTCTCTCAGACCATCATTCCTCCCTGGCTGCAATTCCCTCCGCAGCAGAACTCTTTTCCTCCCTAAATACGCTATCCCTGAGCTGCTGCTGCATCACTGACGGGCTCTGCCCTGGCCAGCAGCAGGTCCCTGCTGCCTTTGGCTCTCTGGGACACGGGGGAAGTTTCTCTCAGCTTCTCACAGAGGTTGCCTCTGTCATCTCCCCACTACCAAAACCTTGCCACACAAACCCGATACAAACCCAATAAAATGGACAAAATTCCATGAATGGGACATGTAGCTGGGTAAGTGACCACAGCAGGTGGACAACCCACCTGTGTGTGTGGGGGAAAGTGAAAAGACATTCCTTAGGAATGTTAACATTATGCTCCTTATGGAGAGAAGTCCTTTGGAAGCACAGCTATGGAGAAGGATAAAGAGAAATAACGACGCTTCTTGGAGACCCCCTCGAACAGCACCTGGAGCAGGCTGCGTGTTGGAATGTGCTGGAATGCGTTGGAATCCGTGCTCAGTGCACAGATTTCATTCCTGAAACCTCAGGTGGGGGCACACTTTACTGGACAAGCAGAGGCATCAGCAAATCCCAGGGGGCTGCCCAGGGCTGGTCTGGGGGGGCAGTGAAGGTGCTGAGCACCTGGGCACAAAGCACAAGGAAGAAAATTGCCCCAGACAAAGAGAACCAGGCTGGGGCTCTCCTGAGGCACCCAGGGCACCCAGCTGAGGGGCTGCTGAGTGCTGGGGGTCCCTCTCAGTCACCTCTGCAAGGTGACAGCGACAAGGGAACATCCCTGAGCAGGGGGAAAGGCAAATGCTGCATCCAGGAATGCCAGGTGCAGGCACGGAGCAGCCACAGCCCCTCGTGCTCCCCGGGGACCGCCCGAGCCCTCCCAGGCACGGCTCTGCTGCGTGAAGGAGCAGCTGGGCCGGGCCTGGGCTGGGTCTGCTGGCAGCCACATCCCCTCTGCTTGGGGTGACAGCTCGGGGACACAGAGCGGAGCTGGCTCCTCTGCTTGGGGTGACAGCTCGGGGACACAGAGCGGAGCTGTCCCCCCTGCCACCCGTCCTTGGGGACACAGAGAGTGGAGCTGTCCCCTCTGCCAGCTCGGGGACACAGAGCGGAGCTGTCCCCCCTGCCACCCGTCCTTGGGGACACAGAGAGTGGAGCTGTCCCCTCTGCCAGCTCGGGGACACAGAGCGGAGCTGTCCCCCCTGCCACCCGTCCTTGGGGACACAGAGAGTGGAGCTGTCCCCTCTGCCAGCTCGGGGACACAGAGCGGAGCTGTCCCCCCTGCCACCCATCCTTGGGGACACAGAGAGTGGAGCTGTCCCCCCTGCCACCCCTCCTCCGGGACCCCGCACCCCCTGGCCGCGCTCTGGGGCTCCGCAGGGCTCAGCCCGTGCTGTCGCCTGGCTGGGCTCGGCGTGGCTGCGGGGACCCCGGCGCTGGGACCCCGGCCATGTGCATCATCAGCCGCGCCGCCTTGGCGACGGCCCCGGGGGTGACGCAGCCGCGGGCTCCCGGGGGACCCCGCCGAGGCAGCGCCGCGGGGCTGCGTGTGTACCCAGCCAGCTCATCCCCGCCGTGTCTGCTCCGAGCTCCCGGGGGACCAGACCCCAGACGGGGCTGGCAGGAGGGGCACCTGAGGGTCCTCGACCCCCGGAGGGGCTGCGGGCAGGGGCAGAGCCGCACTCACGGGGCCCGGGGCTCACAGCCCGCCTTGCACTGGGGGTATGGGGTCTCAGCCCCCTGCCTGGGGGCACTGCTGGGGTGATGGGGCAGGGGCTGCGCTGGGCTAGACCCTGTGGGGCCGGGGCAGAGCAGCTCTGGGGCAGCCCTCGCCGCCACCCCACCCACACAGCACACGGGAGAACGTGTCCTCACACACTTTTAATGTTGGAGAGGGAAACGTGTCCTCACACACTTTTAATGCTGGAGAGGGGCAGCGCCCATCAAGGAATTCCAGCAGCAGGGATGGAGCTCGCCTGGGAGTGCCAGGGATGGCCACAGCCAGGGCAGGATGACAGGGACAGGCATAGCCGGCTGTGACAGGGACAGGCAGAGCTGAGGGCATCCAGCCTTACCCCACGGCTTCACTTCAGTGCTGACCTGTGTGGAAAAGCAGCCTCAGCCCTGTGACCCCGGGACCCCCTGCCCACTCCCTGCAGCAGGGAGACAGGGATGGCCTGGGGGCAGCCTGAGGTGTGACCTGCCCCTCCACACCCTCATCCCCACTCCCAGGAGGTCTCCTCTGCCCCACGGCACCCCATGGCCGTGCCCATCTCACTCCCCTGAGGGTCTCACCATGGGGAGAGCTCGCTGGCTTCTGCCTCGGCCCCACATCTGCAGAGGGAGAGAGGGAACAAGATCGAGGCAGGGATGCCCCGGCACCCTGAAGGACCCGAGCTGCCACACGGGGACCATGGCACAGCCAAAGGCTGGCCCTGGACACGGGCCTGGGCAGTCATGGCAGGCTCTCACCTTCAGCAGCTTCGGGCACCTCCAGGCTGTCCAGCCGGTCCTCATCCACTGCGGCCTCGCTGCCGTCCCCAGCTCCATCCCCCTCATCCTCACCCAGTGGCTCTGTGGGCAGGGACAGCTCAGGCGGGACCCTCCCTCCCTCCCCATTATGGGACACGCCAGGAGGGAGGTGACAAGCAGGACACTCCAGGGTGAAAGTTCCCAGGAGGAATGTGACCAGCCCCGTGTGGGAAGCAGGGAGAGCCTGGGGCAGGACTGAGCCTCCAGGGCCCCTGGGTGGGGCTACAGGTGGGGGTCACACCCCCAGTCCTGTGTGGGACCCCCGCACAGGCCATGTGGTGAGGGGGGCTCTGGGCACCCCAGGCAGTCCCAGTGCCCCCTTGGGACAGAGCAATTTCCCCAGGGCAGGCACCTGTCTGGAACTCGATGGTCCTCAGCATCTCAGCCACGTAGTCCACGTTGATGGAGAAGTGGTCCATGTTCTCATAGCCGGGCTCAGGGCGGCTGCTCATTGATGCCTTGGACATGTCTGTGATCCTGCAGGGCAGAGACTCCCAGGAGCTGCAGGGTCCAGCCCCAGAGGGCCACCAGCCAGAGGCCTTTACCCCCCACAGTCCCCACTCACTTTTTCAGGAGTTCCTTGGAGTGCTGTGAAGGAAAGCGAGGGGGGATCAGTGTCTCCTAGACATCACCCCCACCACAGGTCCACCCCTGCACATCCCAGGGGGATCCACAGATCCTTTTGGCTGAGCACAGCCCCCTGTTTAGCCCTGCGAGCAGCCCCTCAGGGAAGCATGGCCCCACCACACCGGCCCAGGGCAGTCCCAGCCCCCGTCCCCTGGCAGCACCTGCAGGTACAGGGCCATCTGGGGCTCCTCCATGGCCTGGATGGCTGACTCCACCAGTTTGGAGGAGGCCTCCAGGTGGTCTCCGTACTGGCGGATGAGCCCGCGGACCCGCTGCAGCTTGGCCTCCTGCTCGGCCGCGATGCTCTGCAGCAGCTCCTTCTTGCGCTCCTCCAGGATGCCGTAGAGCGCGTCGAACCGCAGCCCCAGGTGCTGCTTCTGCCGCCGCCCGTTCTCCTGCGGGACGGACCAGGGCTGCTCCGTGTGCCCCCAGCACAGCCCCAGGGCTGGGCGCTCCCTGCCCCACCACCCCCCTCCGCTGGCACGGCCCCGGGCCGGAGCCCTGGTGCCAACCTCGATGGTGTGGCAGATCTCCTCCATCTGTGTGATGATGGCCTGGATCCGGTCGTTCCCCGCCACCAGCATGGCGATGCCATCGCTGAGCTCGCTCTGGGTGCAGAGGGCCAGGGCGTGAGGGTGCCTGTGTGGGTACCCCCGGCCCCCCGGGACCCCGGGGGCCCCCCACCTTCTGGCGCTGGTAGACGGCCGGCAGCGGGGCCACCTCGCAGTCCTTGTGCGCCCCGAACACCTTGCACAGGGAGCAGGTGGGCGCCTCGCAGCGCAGGCAGTAGATGTTGATCCGCTCGTCCTCGTGCTCCTCGCACATGAGGTGCTGCTCAGCCTTGGCATGAAGGGGTCTGCACGGGGGTTGGGGGAGTCAGGGAGACACCCCGGCCCCCAGAGACACCCCAGCTTCAGAGACAGCAGCAGCCCCGGGACCTGCCCAGCCCCAGAGACTCCTCTGGCCCCCAGGGACCCTTCAGCCCCAGGGACACTGCTGGCACCAGAATCACCTCTGGCCCTGGAGACAGCCGCAGCCCCAGGGATATTCCCTGGCCCTGTATGGGCCCCATGACTCCCCAGTTCTTGTTGGGATCCCACCCCAGCCCTCTCGGTGATCTCGCTGTCACCCGCATGTCTCGCCCCCCCCCCCCCCCCCCCCCCCCCCCCCCCCCCCCCCCCCCCCCCCCCCCCCCCCGCCCCCCCTGCCACTGCCACTGCCACCAGCCAAGGATACATGGAGCTGCTGAGCTCTTCCAGCTGTGGGAGCAAAGGCAGAGGCTGAGGGCATGGAGGGGCCCCCGGCGTGC